ATATGGTTGAGAGAATTAATTCATACTACTTAATTAAACAAATTAGTAGCGTCCATAATTTTTATTGGTGGATGTTTGCAATCTACTTGTAAAATGTTCCAATTATCCATTGGAGATTAGTATGTGCATAAAAAAATGGTCGCTTTATCTGAGAGCAATGGAAGGAGTGTGGGAAGTGCGATTCAACAAAAGCAAGTGTAAACTTGTGTAACCTTTAGAATTCTTTCATTAGAAGCTACTTACGTTTTTTTTGTGAAACAGACAGCTCTCCTATTGGCATCGTCCTCGATTAGTCTAGAACAGAAGGTGCTTGTCCCAACGTCACCGAACAAACTCTGCGACGTATGAAATCCATCTGATATTTTCTAAATCTTTTTCAATTTAATCAAAAAGAACCTAAATCTCAAGAATTGACAAAAGATGAATTCATACAATATGTGCAAAATGATCGATTCCAAAGTTTTACTCGTGCCCAGAAAGGTATGTTCTTTGCTAAGAGCTATGCGTCAGCATGTGTACTTTGTGCTTGCTGATGCATGCCAGTGTGTCAACCGACTCGTTAGGGCGCGCAAACAAGCCCAAGAAGTTAACGGTAGACAGACTCCCAAAGAAAGGGCAGGGATAGAACAGAGGAGTTCGATTAAGGCTAGAAGCCCGGCAAGATACAGAGCAAGGCAACAATAGGTTCAGGCAAACTTGGTTGCTAAGAGGGTGGAATGCACGAAGCTTACTAAAGAAAAAAAGAACTGTATTCACCCAATTTTGTTTAAGGTGATGATGCACACAGGAGTGACTTGTACACCTGTGCAGCCAATCTGTTCTCATGCCAACCAAGGAACTTGACAGTCGCAAAGTTACAAAAGCTTGACCTAGTTAAACATGTCATCCTTCTGCTCCTCCTGCTCCTCCTCTTTTTTCTCCCTCTCCTCCTCCTTTGCCCTTTCCTCCTTCTCTTCACAATCCTCCTTCCGGTCCTCTTTTACCTCTTCCGCTTCTTCCTCCTCCTTCTCTTCCCACACCTAC